GTGGTATGACACACCTTCACCATAACAAGGAGGGTCTATGCAGCATCACATACACATTCTTAACAAGTTCTTATAAATATCTCACATGTTAGAGGTGTGGTCTAAGGCTGAGGCAGACAGTGACACTAACTAGCCTGTCCATAAATAGAATGAGTGGTTTTGGTCTGTGTCATAACTAACTGACTTTGAAACTTAAGCTGCATCACTAGCTGGTAGCAAAGAGGTTTACTGATTTTGATGAATGGCAAAAAGGATTTTTCAATTGGTAGAGTTTTTCGGAGACCGAATGCTCATTTGTTGGAAATACGGAGCGAAGACATTCAAGTGTCTTTTATTTACCCAACCATTTTGTGCATCAATTATGTCCCAAGTGCCAAAGAAGCCACAATGAGTAAGACAGATATGGTCACTGCCACCCAGGGAGCTTACAGTCTGTCTGTGAAGAAGTCACCTCTTACCTTCAGAGTCTTTGAAAATTCTGCTTCTTCCTCCAGGAGGAGAACTGAGTCCTCAAGCTGTTCGTTTAGTGCCTGTTACCCCAGAGCTTCCTGTCGTACCAGAAGCCTATGTCTTATCATTCTTGCTGCAGTGTTCACTGTGATGGTAGAGGCATGCTCGGGAATACCTTAAAAGTTACTGAAGTAGAAAGAACAGAATGCCAGTTCCTTGAATAACAGGCTTCGGGAAACGTGTAGCTTGCGAACTTTGGGACAGAGCAATATTATTTACTATAACTGCTATTCTGTTTTCAATTCACCATGTTGTTCCAGTCATTCCCTTTGTGTAATGAACTTCAAATAATGACGAAGCAAGCAGGCAGTTAGCATTCTGAGAAGTAGATTTTAACTTGGCTATATCTCCGGTGTGGGAAGAACTGCTGTAAAATCAAGGGTTTGTGGTCATTTACATTCAGACGTTGCTGACATGCTGTATGAATTATATGCAGAGCAGAAGTCAGTCAAGATCTGTTCAGATAATGACCAAAATGAGTCTAGAGAGATGGCATTTTAATGGGTATATTTAAGTGATACTGAGCTCAGACATGAAAAGTGCCCCAGAGAATTAAGTAGAAGGTCCTGGCTTGGGATGCAAACCTAATCCAAGTTCCATTCCAGTGGTGGCCTCCTCTCAGAACTTTCCCCAAACCATGAGTCTGTGTGAGGTGCCCAACCCCTGCGGTCCCTGGCTTCCGGCACCAACCTCCATCGCCT